AAGAAGGACGAGGGGTGGGTGGGGGGGGGTTGAGCTGGCAGGAACGAGAGGGAAATAGGAATCAAACTCCCCGACCACAGCTGAGCTTGAGCAGCCCGTGTCATACTAGCTCTTAAAGGGCCGGGGGGGGGGGGGGTGGTGGTGATGGACTGGCCCCACGCACGTCGCAGTTTCCTGACCCTGGGTAAACCCCCCCCCTCTCAAGCAACAGTAAATCTCCTTGGGGGGTGTTCGGCGAGGGCAATGTTGCGGCCTGTTGCCTCATACCCGTGATTAGACTCCCGTTGTGTTTGCGGAAGCACTGATCTGAGGTCAGGGCTTCTTCGGGTCCTTCAGTTGGAATAATGCTCTCTGTAAACCCATTTGCCCATATTTCTATTCATGGGTCCAGGTTAAACAGGCCCTTAACCTTTGACCCCAGTGCACCAGCACAATCACCGCATTGGACCGCGATGCCATCATAGTGGATCTCGGCCACTTTAAGAGCTTGATTCAGGGTGAGAGCTACATGTTCAGTCTGCTTTTGTTATATAATAACTAATGAACAGATGACCCGCCCCCCCCACTGCAGTGGGAGGTCTCGGGCTTTCAGAGGTATGGTGTAAGAGCGCTCGCCCCCTGTGGTCACACCTGGAAATGGTGAGATATTTTTATGTCGTAATAAGGACTCGTGTTTGTTGACGCCGTGTCCCTGTACTATGAGCGGAGCGTGTGATTTTCGTTGTGTCACTTTCTTAATTGAGAAATGACAGCTCGGCGTGCATTAAAGTGACCCACAGGATGCAATTGGGGAAGTGTGTGTGTGTGTGTGTGCGCGCATGTTTGTATTTGAGAGTTCTGAATTGTCACTGTGTTTATGCTTCCAGGCACGCAGGATAAAAGCATGCTGATTTTCAGGCCCAAATGAGCCTTTTCCTGCACAGGGAAACGTGTGCGTGCGTGAGATTAGTGCTGAAGCGTGAGGAAGTGATGTCACAAAGAGGAAGTGCCGTGTGGGGCCTCTCGCTGTGAACCTGCGAAGGGAAAAAATACTACGAATGCCTACCTTGTGTCCTAGAGATTGTGACGGATGTCGGACCTTCCCAATGAAACTTCTGGAGCTGAAGTAAAAATGCGTATTTTGGATAAATGAAAATACTTCATAAATTTGTAATATTAATATGAATAAACCTTCTGCATGTTTTTCCCCCACACTGAGGCCTTGCAGTGTGTTCTGCACTGTAAGCAGAGTGTGGATAAACTCCCAGAGGCAGAAGACCGAATGTGAATTATTTTTTTTCTCTCCATTTTTAACTTTTTTAATTTATTCTTTTCTCCTCCTCGTCCTTGTGGTACGGGTAAATAAAGCCAGCACTGTCACTGTGGTTGCTCTTCACAAATGAGATGTAACTTCCCCTTTTCTCTTATATTCCTCGTATCAGCCATCTCAGAGGAGCAGACCATAGCGTGTCCATATGGTCTGTTTCCCCCCCACCCCCCCGACCTGAAATCAAACGTAACCAGTGCCATACAGCGCCCCCTAGAGTGCCATACTGTTGGAGCAAAGAAAATTATTTTAAAACCCAATGAAGGGTTTTTTTTTTTTTATCTTCCAGGGGTAAAACACTTCAATCCGAAACATTTAATTGAGTGTGTGATATAAATATCTATATAACATTTTACTTATTTAGCCGTTTGCCGAAGGACACCGATTGGCTCTGTGTTTTTGTGTCGTGTTTATAATGACGGTGATGATGATGATGATAATAAGTAAATGAACCCTGCCCAGTTGTTCTCAGAAGTCTGTGGTTCTGAGTGACCAGATGGGCATAATCCCGGCGTCTCTGTGTGACGGCTGCCTGTCCCCCGAACGCGGCGTGCGGCGCTGCCAGGGAAAGGCTCAGCGTGCTAATTTTCACGCCTCCCGCTGTGTTACGCCCACGTCTCACTCCAAGCTCACCAGGCTCACTCAGCCAGCCAGTGCTCTCACTCAGAGTACTGCGAATAGCACAGCCTCTGCAATGCATTGTGGGATATGCGAGCAGTTCTCGGTTGCTTCAGCCTATCGTCTCCCCTCCTGCTACATTCCGGCTTGTTCTGCGCTGACGGCTGTCACACTGTGCTAAGCGTGCTAACATGCTAACGCCGGTTCTTCCATCTCGCGTCACTAGTTGACTGACTCATGCCTCGTCTCCTGGTTGCATCTGTTGTCCCTTCCTATGTTTCCCGACATCTGGTTTCCCAGTGTGGAGTAAGTTCTTATTCGAAGTGGAATCATGTTGAGTCCGAAGCAGCTGGGGGCGCCGGTCCAGTTATCTTTCTGTTTCTGGGTTTTACTCTGTCCTCCACTCAGGTTTAATGTGATGTTGACAATCTCACTGTAAAAATTAGCCCTACCTTGCAACTTGGGAAATATTTTTTTTAGAGGACTTGGAATACAATGTGTTGTCTCTGCTACTGTATGTCAACCCCCCCCCCATTCATAGATGGGGATGGAGGATTGGGCTCATTTGTCTCCAGTACATGTTCTGTTCAGAAGAGGCTAACAAGCATGAAATACCTCGCTTTGCATCTGCTTCATCACTGCCCGCCCCCCCTCCCCACCCACCCCTTTTGCTGGCACAGACCTTTCCCTGGGGGACATTTCTTTGCATCAGCCCCCCCTGTCCAAATTTCCGTCTACTCACTCGTACACCGATGCTATAAATAACGCACTGGTTTGTTGTGTCCTGAATTTCGCTGCTAGCTTGCTTGTCTGATACTGTTCCTTATTGCCGAATACGATTGTTGGGGCAATAAATGCATAAACAGTGACTGAAAATGGATGTAACTTTGTCCAGTAGTGTGTGTTAACTTTTGGAGAAGTGAATGTGTAGCAGAAGTCTTCCCGAAACGACGCCTTTTCCTTGTAGTCTCCTGACCCGCCTTCCCGCTCCTGTCTTATCGCAAAGAGCTCCTGAGGAGTGAGGACATGGCCTAAAATAAGGGCAGTTAGATAAGGGCGTTGGTGCAGATCTGAGATCCAGATCACTGGCTGTCTGTTGCTGACTTCAAACCGGCCACAGGCCCTTGTGTCGCGTTACTCAGGAAAGAGCGGCTGAGACATGCAGCCTCTCCGCAAGATTTTAATTTTTGTGTGATAAGGCAGGGAGATATCCTTTAACTCTTTGTCACTGAGGCGGGATTCTGGCAGAGTGGAACATGAAAACTGTATTACAGAAGGGAAGCCAGGATTTTGTCTGGGTGAAAGAAATACTAGATAGATCCAGATGTCTCTCTCAACCTCTATTGCGCTGCCTTGTTTACTGCGAGATTTTTTTTAATCTGTTAGTTTATAGCGTTATGGTTGGTACGATTGCGTTATTTGCCCCCATGGACTTCACTTTACAAGAATTTCCCCTCCAGTTATGAGGCACCGACTCATAAAACAAGTTATGGCAGAGCGCTTGTTGTGGAACGTCGTATACTCTTTCTTTAAGGTGCGCCGGAAACTGCGGACCCCTGTTCCGCGTATTTAAAATCAGAAAACGCAGTCTGCGGATTGTGCTGTGCTTCAGCAGTTATGTTGTGGGAGCTGAACTGGTTCAGGCTGGTTTGCTAGTCGGGGGGGGGGTCTCCATCTGTGATGTATAGGTTGGTGGGGTGGGCTACAGCCGTCTTCAGTGTGACACAACTCACCTACATACGAATGAAATCGACCCCGCTGCTATTTTGGGACTCGCAGAGGAAGCAGTCTGCGTGCGCTTGGGGCTGCTCTCTTGAGGGGTGTCCCGTCTTGGCCTCCTGGTTTACAGCGTAGGGCGAAGCCTGGGGTTCGAGCTCCGCCCCAGGGCCGGGCTCATGCTTGCTGATGTCATCCATCTTGTCAGTTGATTCCATGCATTTCCTGTTTAGCCGAGCAGTCGGTCTGAATTTTCTCATCCAGGCGTCTTTCTGTATGCCATTTTTGGGATTTTATTTTTTTTTTAGGTGGGAGGGTGCATAAGAGGGCCAATAATTCATACGGAGGGGCCAATCATATTAGCCAATAATATATTTTGAATCGATGAGCGACAGGGGAGGGGGCTCTCTGGGGGCCAATCAGCTTTCTCCTGGGGCCAGTTGCCCCTAGGGCCCCGCTTCTCTAAATGCCCCTGCTGGACGCTCAGGGAACCCAGATTATGTCGTGGCGGCGGGGGCCAAACCCGCTGCTCCGCTGGAGGCTTTGCACGCTCCAGGGTGCCAGGCGGCTGAATTTTCGGCAGATTCCTCATTCCTACGGGCCCTGGGGGCGACAGTGGGCGCCGGACGAAGCAGAGGCTCGTTAAGAATCCAAACCAGCGCCTGAGACTGACGTATCCAGGGCTGTGCTCCTTCATATCTGGCTGTCTGCCAGCTATTGGGGTCTCAGTCCATAACCACCTGCCTGGACCCTTTCTCTGTCCGTCAGCTCGAGGTGTAAATCTTAGAAAGACACAGGGAGCGAGTGGAGGCAGCTTTTCTTCTACTGGTTTTCATTTATTTATTTTTTTTTACTACTCTTTATAGCGGCCTGTGGAGGTGGCTGCTGGATGCAGTGTGTGAGATTGACCAGCAGGGCGGCGCCCCGACTGACAAGTTACAGATGACATGTGTTTTGTATGATTGACGCGTCCACATATTTGGCGCTCGTCCAGGCCTCGCGTGCCCCCGCGGCAGCGTAGCTCGGCCTGCCGGCAGCTGTGGCGGGGGCCAGTTCCATCACTCAGCGAGTTGCGTCAGCTGCCCGCGGTTGAGCCTCGCAGCTCAGGCCCGGCCTGGGGGGGGGGTTGTTTTCGGAGGAGGTTAGCATTGGTTATGAAAGCGAGTGTCTGTTTAGGCACCGTGTTGGATATCTCCTCAAGTTTAGGATGCTTGAACTTATTTATGAGCCTGGTTACGCAATGGGCCTGATTTAAACAACAACAAAAGGAATAATAATTTATTCTAAGCAGGCCATTAGTATCATGGATAATTGTTCCTCTCCTTGTCTAGACAGCCTGTCCACGGATAATCCAGACTGTACAACTTCATGGGCTATGCTGTATTGTAGGGCTGTAGTCTTTCCTTCTCACGGATCTCTAGATCTGTATGCCCCCCACCCACCCAATCCTGGCCTCTGTCCTCCCCCCACGTCCGTGTCGAGCCAGGGAGTAACTACAGTGTCCTGTGAAAGACGCCGGTCCGGACGGCGACCCAACCAGGGACCGTTTCATACAAACTTTCTCCTTGAGTTGGGCTTTGAAGGCCTCCCTGATGCGTGTGACTTGTCCATCTTACCCCAGAGTTACGCCGGAGACTGATTATTGCAGCATCTCTGAAAGGGTTTCATTTTCAGTGTGGTTTCCTGTGTCGCTCAGGACCTTCGCTGTTTTGCGAGCCTGAGAGGGGCAGGGCTAACCACCCATGTCTGTACCGTTAGACATAATTAAGCAGTAGGTGCACAGTTGTAGATGACAGAGGGATCTGGGACCCCTGCGGACTGCTAGATGACTCGAGTGTCCGCAGCCGTTGCTCGGTGTGCTGGTGTTGTGCCGGAAGCCCCAGGATTGTGAAAGAACATCGATGGAGCCTCATTCCCGATGTACTGATGTTCTCCCTCGTCTTTGAGGAGGTTGTTATTAGTGTCATTAGTGGGTGTGAGGTTTGGCAAATTCTAACTTGATGTCGTGATGCTGTGTTGTTCAAAATGTAATTCAGAAGCCAGCATCTGCAGTACTTAAAGGGGACCAGTCATGCTCCTTTTCACTTTGGTGTCTACTAGAATAGATTTACATGCTTCAGTGTTCGAAAAACTGCATCTCTATTCACCCTGTGTTTGATATGCTCTGTCAGAGCTTTAAGCCCCACCCCCGATGAGCCCAGTGTGCTCTGATTGGTCAGCTTGCCCTACACAGATAATGGGTCTTTTTTTAGTAGATGCTTTTGTCCAAAGCGTCATGCAAGTGGGTGTCAGAGCAGGGTGAGCCGGTCCCTGGAGCAATTGAGCTTAAGGGCCTTGTTCAGGCACCTAGCGGTGATGTGATTGCTCTGCTTGGTTGTTTGAACTTGCGACATCCCGGACATGAGCACAGACCCCTGACCTGCTGAGCTGTGGCTAGACTGTATCTGTGGCTGCACCTACTTGCATTTTGTCCTGGAGTCTTAAGTATGAATTATGATGTCCATTTTCCTCAAGGTTCCAACTGCACCTCCCCTGATCTGTAACCCCCCTCCCCCCCTTTCCCTGCAGCTCCTTGTTTGACACGCGGGAGAGCATGAGCCCCCTGTCATTCCAGCCACCAGCTCTGGCCTACGGGGCACAGTGAGTACCCCCGCCCTTCCCTGCTTAGAACCCCTCTCCATCTGGTTTGTCTTATTCGTGTAAGGTATTTGTACTTTCAAATGAAAGAACTGCAAAATATAGTTTGTTTGTTTTTTGATGATGATGTAAACAGGACATTAGACGGAATGAGAAATGTGTAATTCCATGTAAAAAAAAAAAAATTAAAAAAAATATCAAGAAATCTACTAGAGTAGAAGATGGGTGCGGACCGGCCTTGTACCAAGCCTAAACCGATCCTCTGCCAGGGGGTGATAGTGGCTCCGAGTTCCCCCAGGCCGGTTGGGCCTGAGTTCGGGCCTGAGTTCGGGCCTGACGCTCAGCTTGGGATCAACTGCCGTGGTCTGTGTCTCAGAGCGGCAGGCCCCCACCCCCCGCGGGATGACCAAATATGGAGAGGGCCTTTCAAGTTGCTGCAGAGACACGCGGGAGCGTGAGACACTCTCTGGAAAACGGTGCTGTATAAACTAGGGCTCATACGAGCGTCTCCCCATCGCACGCAGGCGCACGTTAGTGCCCGTCCTGTTCCTGCGGCGTCTTTGATTTCCAAGGCTTTGCCGTTGGTTGCCACGGTAGCCCCTGGGGTGGTTTCGTCAGCTTCGCTGGCTGATGTTTTCACCCCCCCCCCCTCCAGCTGGACTTTCGAATTTGTTTTGATAAGGCAGAAAAAACAACCGAAAGCGATCAGGCGTTGATGTGCCCTCGCAGGGAGTCGGTTTCTCGCTTTTATTTTTCTCTTCTGGTATTGATTTTTAATTTTATTTTTTTCCGTACTGCGTGCCATTGATTTCCTAATCGCTCCCACGATCTATTGCATGGTGACTAATTTTATTGCAAATCCTCTGCTGGTTCCCTCTGTTTTTAATGCCTCGGATGAGTTCGTGAATCATCTTGGTCTCCAGCGGCCTTTTTGCACCCCAGAACAAAAGTCTGTCAAACTCCTCCTCTGAATCGAATCACCCCCCCCCCCCTACTCATTCCCCCAGGCCGCTGGGGTTGCCCCGAGCAGAGACTGTGCACGTTCACAACCCGAGCCAGGAGCTGCCTGTGACAGTGCTGTCCATGTTCACGCCCAGCAGGCATTTTCACACGCCCTCGTTCCACAGAAGGGTGAGTTGCTGGGGGGGGCTTTTCTGTGGTCTGAGAACCAAGACAATGCCGCTGACTGTTGTACTTTTCCACACTCCCCAGTGTAGGTGTGCGCACGTGCAGGTCTGACCGTGCGTGTGCACATATTTACATTGACGCACGTGCTGATTTCTGGTTCTCAGCTTTGTTTGAATTGTGGGCTCGATGCCAGAAGGGGATGAGGTTTAGTCCCAGTGGGGCTGCCCAGTGACACTTTATCTGTTTCCTGCCTTCCAGGTGATTCCGCCACGGGGAAAGGCTTCCTTTAAGTTAATCTTCTTCCCAACGGAGGAGGGCAGTGTAGAAAGTACCTTATTTATAAACACCACTCTGCATGGTGTCCTCTCTTACCAGGTGAGTCAGCATCACCTTTGCTGGGCGGGGGAGTCAGTGTGGGTGGCACCTTTAAACAGGAAATGACATCACTAGGGATGTATAATCTATAGGCTGCTTTCTTGTCATAGCCAGTCCTGCCCCTTACAGGCCGTGGAGGGTTAAGACGTTTCGATTCATGGATTGGGTGGTACTGACCGTCTGGTTGGTCTTCCAGGTGTCTGGGGTTGGAGTTCATCACGGCTCCTCAAACGTTGCCCAGAACAGGGACGGAACGCTAGTTTTCCCGCACATACAGAGCATTAAACTGACACAAACTCAGGTAACCCGTCACGCCCGCTACGTCTTTTCCGCCGCCGGCCTCCGAGTCCGGGTCCGTGGCGTGACAGCCAGCGGCAGCTGGGCCCCCCGCCTCTCACCCTGCGGGGGAAATCATGGGCGGCATCATGAGAGGCTCCCCTCGTGCTGCAGTGCATGCTGGGGGCCCGGGCCTGCCTGGCGGCTCGACCGGAAGCATGTGACGTTTTACAATGACCTTTTTTTTAAATTCAGTTTATCGTGGAGCAGATCTAGACGTAGGAAATTAGTTTATATTTAGATGCTGGATTTGTTGTTATTGCGTCACCGCTGTGTTTCCCCCTGTTTTGAACTCAGAGTACTCAGAGAACGACGTGGCCGCCGACAGAATGTTCTGGTGCTGACCCAGCCTCGCAATATTGTTAGCCGGTCATCTTAAACGCTAGTGTGCGTTAGCGTTCACTGTGTATGGATTTCAACGCCGCCTCCTGGTTCTCTTTGCAGGGCGATGCATCAAATGTCACGATCCTGGGGCTGCTGATGGAGTCGACACTGCCTAAGAACTACGTCGGCCATCCCCAGGTAACCCAGGGAGCGGTGACCCAAAAACAAAGCAGGTTTTCGGAGTCCTCTGCCCGTACGCGGATGTCATTCTGCTCCTTGGAGCAGCGTCAGTTTCATTTCTCATGCTTGACGGCCTTTTCATGGGTCCGACCGCCGCATGAATGTTTGTCCCTGATGCGAATCACCCATAATCCTTTGCTGCATGTTTGCGCACAGGGAGCTGGTCAGCTGCCTGTTCTAAACATGCAAATCGGAAAAGTGGCTTGTCGGGAGGGCTTAGCATGGGGGACAGGATGTGGAGCTCCGTGGCTCCGGCCCCCTGCCCCCCTGCCCCCTGGTCCATTTTCCTACGCTTGACGGGACTGCCTTCCTGTGATTTCCCAGGGGTCTTGCTTCCAAGCGGAGCAGAAGCTGGTGGCTCAGATCAGCCTGTCAGAGAGAGGAGAGAAACACACAGACCTGGAGAAGCTGAAGCCTTACGTCATCGAGAACATCCTGGTCCTTTTCGTCGTGCCGCCGGCAGCGAACTCTCTGCGTAAGCCAGCCGCGGAATCGGAAAAGGCTAAAATTAGATCACGGCGCGTCAGACGTTGAGAATGAGCTGGAAAGCCAGGACTGTTACATACAGATGTTTTTGTGAAGTTATGATTCATAACCGTTCCTGGGGTTTTAGGACTGACTGACGATAGGGTAGCGGTCCTGCACACGCAGAAATCTGTGTGTGTGTGTGTGTGTGGGGGGGGGTGGGGTGTCGTGTCTTCTCATGGCATTTATTAGTGTGTCGCTTATCTCCCGAGTCGTGCCATAGAGGTGTGAGGGATGCCGGCTCTGATGGCCGCCCGTGGGACCCTGAGGATTGGCAGGCAATGGTTACCGGGGGGTGGCGAATCGCCCCCCCTCCCCCCCACCTTTTTGGTGTCTGCCAGCAGCCAGGGTAGTTAGTGGAGATTAGCCGAGCGGGGGGGCATAGAACAATGGGAAAGATTCCCTCACTGGGCCATCGACTAAGGGCCTTCCCACCTGACTTTCCCTGCGGTGGGCATGGACGCCCCCCCTCCTCCAAAGGCTTCAAAGGAGGAAGCAGCTTAAATGCAGTTCCTTTTGCTTCATTCATGTGTGAAGTGAGTACACTTAGTATTGAGACAGGGCCACCTATGAGTGTAGCACTGCAGCTAAATTTGGGAGGGTGCATTTTTTTTGTTTACATTTTTCCAAAGAGACTTAGGGTAGAGGGAGGGGTTATATGGTATATGCAGGCTTCCTGGGATTGGAATCCATGACCTCACCCAGCTTGTTGTTGTTGTGGTTGTTGTAATTTTTTTCGTTACTATTGTCATTCGTATGCTTTTCTTTCCTCTGTACAGGAGTGCCAAAGATAAATATATACATGTTAAATTCTGGAGTCAAAAAATTATTTGTGAAGGTAAGGAGCACCGGGTGTTTGTGGGTGTGTGTGTATTTGGGTGTGTGTGTGTGGGTATTGGTGGATTAGGTTTATATTACATTGTGGGGACCAAATATCCCCCCACAACGTGATGATAACCTGTTATTTTGACATTGTGGGGACTATTTTTCAGGTCCCCACAATGATCTGTGAATGCAATCAAAAAAGTATAAATATTTTGTTTGGTTACTTATGGTTAAGGTTAGGGTTGGGTAGTGGTTAAGGTCATCATGTTGGGATTACAGTTTTCCCCATAGAAATGAATGGAGAGTCCCCACAAAGATATAATTGCAAACTGGTGTGGGTGGATATTTGGGTGCGTGTGTGTGCATGTGTGGGTTTGGGTGCTTGAGTGTATTTGGGTGTCTGTGCATGTGCGCATGTGTGTATATTTGGGTGTGGGTGTGTGGGTGTGTGTTTGCGTGTGTGTATATATTTGGGTGGGTGTTTGTGTGTATTTGGGTGTGTGTGTGTGTGTATATTTGGGTGGGTGGGTGTGTGTATTTGGGTGGGTGTGTGTATTGACCTCCCCGTCACCATGACACCTTCACTCCTGCTGTCTCCAGGAGATCCAGCTCTTCTCCAAAGTCGACAGCACTGCTGAGTTCAAGCAGGTCCTGCTGCGGGCCTCCAGCACCAACTTCACCCAGGTGGCTTCGTTAGTCTGCAAAGGTGAGCGCCGCTCACGCCGTCCGTCCCGCTCACGCCGTCCCGCTCGGGCCCAGGCCCGGCCCTCGCCCCCCCTGCTTCCCCAGGCCCTAATCGCCTGCCTGCCTGTCTGCTTCCTCCATTCAGGGCCCTTTCCTGCACACGGGAAAAAGTGTTTCAGGCAAATCAGTTTGCAGCTCTTGCGAAACCACACAGTGAAGTCCCATCCAGCCTTTGGGATCCACAGCAGGTGCGCAGAAGCATTTCCTCTTTGTATCACAGATGTGTGTTATACTGCCCTACACAGGTGAAACCCCGTAACTGAATATTTTATACAAACTGAGTTATGACCAAAATCGGGTCTCTTGGGCTCTGTTTTATCTCATGAAAAAATATCTTGGTTATTTTGAATACGTACCCTATCGTTTACCTGCCTACTTCTCCTACGGGTGGACAGTCAAGGAAACTCTGAAGCCATTTTTCTTGGGTTCAGTGTCAGCGTAGTTGCACTGTTTTGCCTTTGTGGGGCAGTGTAGAGTTACAGATGTTCATATTAGTATATGCAAATCCCTTTAGTTTCAGTTCCTTACCTCCTGATGGAGTGACTGACTGATTTTTATGGTTTGTTTTTCCATTCATAGGGACCTGAGGGATGGGTCTCCTGTCCAGTTCCACATCAGCCAGACGGGCGAAGACCACGCCGACATCTGGCTGACCAGCCCCCTCGACTTCAGCTTCGAAGTGCGGAACGTGACGATGACGCCGGAGATGGATGGCCTCTTGGAGGTGGGATCTGCTGCTCCTCAATCTTAAATGCAGTTCGCCCATAACTGAGTGTTTGTGTAAATGGTGTGCGTGCCCTGCGATGGATGTGTATTTTGGACATTTGATTTAATTGGTCTCAGTCAGACTGTCTAGGTCAGCCTAGAAGGGGTGACTGTGACCTGACGTAGTCTGTTTTCCGCTGCCCTTCAGGTGGTGAACTTCAGCGGGCCGCTCACCGTCCAGCCAGGCTGCTGGAGGCTGCTTTCGCTTCAGCTGGCTGGCCGGACGCTGCCTGTCAGTGTGGTCACCGCTGTGACACTAGACACCAGTCTGGGCGTCTCGCTGGAACTTCCCCTGCACTTTCACTTCCACTCCTCCCTTACCAAGGTGACCCCCCGCTACTTTGCCGTGTCTGCGTGACTTGCTGTCCCTGTTTGATTCCTCCCCCCCCTCCGCTGTCTAAATCTGCCCCTTCTGAGACGTAACCCTGCAGCCGTGGTATCCGTGGTAACGACTGTGCTCGCGGTAACCGTGGCGTCTTTTTCTCTCCAGCAGGGGGACGTCGTCTTTGAGGCCAGCGGGGAATGCGGGAGACCCTGCCGGCTCCGGCTGTCCGAATCCGGTGAGACCTGTTAGAGTGACGCCCCACTGATGCCTGTAAACCCAGTACGGAGGCTGCTGTGTGAATCGAGGATATGGGTCATGTGACCTGCATTGAAGTGTGAATTTTCATCTTACGGAGTGGTTTGGGGAAACTCATTAATATTAATGAGAAGTGCTAGCTGATTGGCCAGTGGCTGTCTTACATGGCTAATCCCTCCCTCCCGCAGGTCGTGCCCAATGGCAGCGCTCCTTCCTGGACTCCGCCTCCTCCTGGCAGACAGACAGCATCCTGGCCTCGGAGCTCTGCGCCCGCTGGCGGAGCCACAAGAAGAGGCTCACGTGCAGGTGAGAGACGCGTGGAGCGGCTGGGGGGGGGTGCACTCGGGAGGGGGGGGGCAGAGGGATAGGCAGAGTGGCACAGACCTGGCTGACTGACTCTTTTTGTTTCGTTTCTGTATCTGAAGCTGGCCGCGACTCCCAGTGGAAACCAGTTCCCCTCTAGACTTTGGCGCCAGTCCAGTGAATGAGAGCAAGGTAGGCGGTAACCATCCGGATGTGGATTTGTGACCCGAAATCTAATTCGCTGTTTGAGCGGCGAATCAGCCTTGAAGGCTTCGTTCAGTCGCTGTCTCTGAGTTAATTTGTTCAGTAGTTTGTAAATTCATGGCTTTGGGAAAGTGACTCATTGTAAAAAGTGACTGTAGCTGTTTGAGGCATGTTAAATTGGTATGTGAAAGTGTTATGTGACAGACTAGGCGATGATGATGATGATGATGATGATGATGATGATGATGATGATGATGATGATGATGTGACCCAGGTAAAGTTCTTCACCCTGAAGAACCCCTCATCCCACCCTGTGTCCGTGGAGCTGAGGCCCTTGGCCTCATACTCGGCTCCACTGGGGGCCCTGGACCTGCTGACCAAGTGGTTCAACATCAGCCCGCTGTCAGTCAACGTCACAGCCACGGAGTTCACCTTACTGAAGGGGAGTGGTCAGGTGAGGTCTCTCCTCTGCCCCCCCCTCCCTTACTGCTCCGCCCTCCATTGTCCCAAGACGGCATCATCACCGTGAGGCGCTTGTGTTGACGCTTGCGCCTCCTCTCCAACCCCTCCTACTGCAGGAGGAGTGGCGGACAGCAGACGGGGCTCTGCGACTCCTCCTCCAGCCCCTGGAGAGCAGGGAGGTGGGCGTGTCTTTCACCCCCGCCGAGCACAAGTCTGTGACCTCGCTCATCCTCATCAGGTACCTGCTCTGACCCCCACCCACGCAACGGTTCCATGTTGGATCATTTGGATTCGGGTTCCAATAATTAATGTGTTTACAATTTGTTTGCATATCGTTGTGCCAACATTGGGTGATGGGTGGCTGTTTCTCTGCACGACAGAAACAACCTGACTGTGTTCGACGTGGTGATGGTAAGGGGTCAAGGCGCCAGGGAGCTGCTGCGCATCGGGGGCAAACTGCCCGGCCCCGGAGCCTCGCTGCGCTTCAACGTGCCCCAGTCCACGCTGATGGAGTGCAGAGATGGTGAGGGGTGCTGCTGGGGCCCCTGTGGCAGGGGCAGATTTTTCCAGCTTGTTTACCAGGCTTGCTGGAGGCTTTCATTTCGCTGTCAGCACTAGGCATGTAGGTGCCATTTTAAATACTGACTGGATGCAGTGTGGAATATCGGCTGAATGCAGTGCAGAATGTCAGGTGTACACTGGCTGGATGCAGTGTGGGATGCCGGGTGTACGCTGGCTGGATGCAGTGTGAGATGCCGGGTGTACGCTGGCTGGATGCAGTGTGGGATGCCGGGTGAATAGTGGGGTGGATGCAGTGTGGGATGCCGGGTGTACACTGGCTGGATGCAGTGTGGGATGCCGGGTGTACGCTGGCTGGATGCAGTGTGAGATGCCGGGTGTATGCTGGCTGGATGCAGTGTGAGATGCCGGGTGTACGCTGGCTGGATGCAGTGTGGGATGCCGGGTGAATAGTGGGGTGGATGCAGTGTGGAATGCCGGGTGAATAGTGGGGTGGATGCAGTGTGGAATGCCGGGTGAATAGTGGGGTGGATGCAGTGTGGAATAGCAAGTGTATACTTACTGGATGAAGTGTGGAATAGCAGGTGAATACTGGCTGGACACAGTGTGAAATGCTGGCTGAATGCTCTGAATACTGAGTAGATGCAGCATAAAATACTGAGCAGATTCTCAGAGAGCTCACTCTGTCATTGTGTGCCCCAACCCTCCCCCCAGGGCTGAGGAGCAATAAGCCTCTGTTCGCCATCCGGAAGAGCTTCAAGGTAGAGAATGCAGGGGAGCTGCCCCTGACCGTCGAGTCAATGAACATCAACGGCTATAAATGCCAGGGTTTCGGGTTCGAGATCCTGCAGTGCCGCTCTTTCCAGCTGGACTACAACTCCTCTTCAGAAATCAACATTGTGTACGTGCCCTCCTGCCCGGCTGCCCTCCTGCAGGAAGTGTGCTGTACGGCATAGTCTTGCCCTCCCAGGCCTTATTCTGACTCACCCCCTCCCTCCACTGCAGCTTCACTCCCGACTTCACATCCTCCTGGGTGATCCGGGACATGACCTTGGTGACGGCTCGTGGTTCCACCTTCCCCTTCACGCTCAACGTGACTCTGCCCCACCACATGCTGCCCCTGTGTGCACAGGTGGTGCCCGGACCCAGCTGGGAGGAGACTTTCTGGCTGGTCACCATCATCTTTACATGGTCAGTGTCACCTTCTCTCATTGCTCCGTGAAGGATGCCAGGGAAGCAGGGGGTGTTACAGTGAATCCCAGGCAAAGTACAATCAGAGTTGAACTGTAGTACTAAATAGAGCTTGTATGGATGTATGTGGAATTTTCTGTTCTGTCTTCTTGCCAGCAGGGGGAGTACTGGCTAAGGGCAATTTGCTTCTTTTAAAGTCAAAGAATTATATATATGTGTGAAAAATGTTCTTTTTAATCTCATTGAATTTGCCTTGTTTTGCATGCAAATGCGTTTTTTTTTTTTTTTTTTTTTAACTCATTCATCTGTTGGTTTCAGCCTTTCACTAGGGGGCGTCTGTCTGATGGCGTTCCACCGAGCCCAGTACATCCTCAACGAGTTCTCGTCCCCTGGTCCCCGGAGCAATCACCACAACTCGGTTCTGTCCCGAGAAAATGGCGTGGTGAACGCAGTGAGCCCCCCCACAGCAAAGTAAGGCCTGCTTCAGATTCTGAGGTTTCCTATGATTTTCATGGCCAGTTAGTTCAGCCGCTGGTTGGTCATCAGATAGGTTGGAATTTTATTGATACCTGTGGGGGGGGGGGAATATTACCACCAGTAGTACTGAAGAAAAACAGCAAAGGAAAAGTTTGATTAGAATTAGTGAATGTTACACTTACATAGTGCTTTTCAAGACACCCAAAGTGCTTTACAGAATGAATGGGGAGCCACTTCAACCCCCAGCACCTCTGTGTAGCCCCCACCTGGGTTCTGTGCCGGTACACTCACCACATAGGAGCTAAAGTGGTGAAGGGGCGGGAGAGAATTCGCCAGTTAGATATGGGGCTGAGTGGGAGGCCAGATCTGATAGGGCCACAGTGGGCAATTTTAGCCAGAATATCTGGGTACCACCCCCACTCTTTCGAAAGACGCCCAGGGATTTTTTATGGCCTCAGAGAATCAGGACCTCAGTTTTACGTCCCATCCTAAGGACGGCACCATTTTCACAGCACAGTGTCCCCGTCACTGCACTGGGGCATTGGGATCCACACTGACCACAGGATGGGCTCCCCCTGCTGGCCACACCAACACCTCCTCCAGCAGGACCCCAGCTTCCCTAGAAATAAATACAAGTAATCTAAGAAAGGACCATAAATACATAAAGGAAATTCATAAAATAAACGGAAGTAGTAACGCATAAATAAGAAAAAGCAATTAAGCCTTGTTTTTCTTTGTTTGGGTTTCAGCAAAATAAAAGGCAGTTGCAAGACCTTTGTGGACTCGTGCAACACGTCAGACAAAGGCAAAGGGAAGGGCTCCCTGGCCGTGGCCAACACCCCTGTCCGGAGCCAGGCCTCCTCCAAGAAGGGCAGTGGTGCCCTGTCACAGCCTCAGAGGAAACACAAGGCCTCGCTCTACTATGGCAGGTACAAGGTCAGCTCCCCGGCCTCCGCTGCCACGGCACTGGTACCCTCTACGGAGGAGGAGGAGGAGCGCGGCCCCGAGTGCGGCTTCCAGCAAGACCCGGAGACCTGCTGCAGCCTTAGCAACGGTGCCGATGAGGCAGGCGCCGCGCTCCCCCCCGCCGCGGAGGAGAAGCCGGCTTGCCTCGAGGAATCGAGGAATCACGATGCCAACGAGGAGAAGGAGCCGACTCGCGTTATGTTTCCCATGGAAACGCATTCCGGCTTCGCAGAGAGCGTGACCGCACCCCCGAGCCCCCGGCCAGGCCCGCTGGCGTGCAGTCCAGCTGAGAGGCCCCCTGCTCCGAGCGAGCCCACTCCAGAGAGGAAGGAGCCCAGGAGGAGAGACGTGGTGGAGGTGGAGGTCAGTGTCCCGTGGCGGTTCTCGCAAGAACCCGAACGTGACTCTCAAAGTGGGATAGTTTAGGCATGTCGTTCGTCTTTATTGATTTTATTACTGTTCTTTTATTGTCGTTCTTGTCGTGGGGACTGACAGCCGAGAGAGGAGTCCCACATGCTCGAGGTGCCGCAGCCTGAGAAGGCGGAGCTGGTTGCCATGGCCAACGGCAGCTGCAAGGGGAAGAAGAACGCGGGCAAGAATCGCCGAAAGCCCAGTGACGCCGTGGCCGGGTAAGGGGGTCGCGGGCAACGGCTGCAGCCTCGTCGGCGCGTTTGTGGTCGTTCACCATTAAATGCGCTGCATCCCATCTCCCCCTCCCCCCCCCGGCCCCCACAGCATCCCTGAGCCCATCGTGGTCGTGCTGTCAGAGAAGAGCAGGGACCTGGAGTGGAGGGACAACCGGACCGCTGGCCGGGCCCGGAACCACTGTGCCAACGGGAAACTGGACACGCTCAAGTCGGGACCCGGCTCGGAAAGCCTGGTCAAACAGCTCCAGAATGGTGAGCCCCGCCCAGGGTGACCCACCCGCCCAGGGGCTCCTATCCTCCTTGCTGTGTGCTAAACTGATGATACCACACTAGGGGGCAGTGTTGCACTCTTTTCCATGCTTAAAATTAACATAACTTAATCTATTTTTTTATTTACCAATGTATGCTCATATTTGTATTGTTTTCATATTTCAACCCTATTCAATTAAACCAACCCAGTAGATGTAGAATAATCTTAAACTGTGGTGTGCCTGTCCTATCAGTCAGTGCACTCAGTACTAGTATCATTGGAGTTTAGGCAAATAATTCGGTGTGTGTGTGAATGACAGATCCCCCCCCCTAGCGTAATGACTATGTGTGGCCACCAGGGGGCCTCCAAATCTCGGGTAACCTACCATGTAGATGGTGACCCTCAGCCCCTGACCCAGCCCACGTGGCTCCCCCCCACAGGCGCACGGATGACCCGGTCGCGGCGGAAGGGCCCACAGCGACGCCCCCAGTGGGAGTCCGGTTCCGACTCGGCCAGTTCCTCGGGCAGCGTGCGGGCCAGCCGGGGCAGCTGGGGAAGCTGGAGCAGCACCAGTAGCGTGGAGGGGGAGCGAGACACCATCGGCAAACACCACTGCAACGCTGCCGCCCCCCCCACCAGGAAAAGTAGGTCCAACGTGCTTGTGTGGAAAAAGAACGGCTTCCGGGGCGGTGCCTTTGAGTGCGGACGAGGGGGGGGTCCTTACATCGCGTTGGCGCGGTTTCCATTAAGATGGTCGGCAGGATGGCGATGACAAAAGGATAACGTCCAATGAACCGTTAGCTTTTTTTTTTTTTTTTTTACACCCCATTAGATGGTTCTGTCTGGGCTAAAGCGGGACTATTCACGTCTGACGTCCCAATTCTGTTGTCCCGGGAAGTTACCTAAATAATTACTGATTCTTATTGGCCAGAGGGTTCACACCTGCCTCACAGTAGGGATCAGTAGGGCTTGTTCCTTGCGGACTGCATGTTGCATAGTGCTGGGCTAAAGCATTCCCCAAAGCAAACCCAGAGCGCCATCTAGTGGGGGCAAAAAAATACCGCAAATGATTCATGAGGTGTCCGTCTGGCTGTCAGTATTTGTCACACTATCTGTTTGATGATGGATTCTTTCTTAATCATCTGGAAACACCAGCCAGACTGCTTTGTGATACTTGTGTCCAAAGTCATGAAGTATGTTTTGTGCTGCTAAACGACAGCCAGAGTTTTAAGATCTGTGCCGGACGATTGGATGAGGGATAGGAATGTGTTTACGTGGCCTGTAATGTCCTTGAACCCTGTGCTTTTAATGTGTTGGGGGGGGGGGGGGGGAGGATAGAGAGGACTGTAAGCTTGTCCCGATAGCCTGCCATAGATTTCTGAAGGTGACGTACAGTGAAGCACAGACTGCCCCCCCGTGCAGCTTGGCTGGCCTGAGCCCCCACCCACCTGCCTCTTCCTGGCACTCCCCACAATGATCTGCCAAGAGTGTTTGAAACCCTGTTGTCAGGGTTGGATGAGAGAGCCTCTTACTCCAGCATGGCCCCCTCAAAGCCCATTGGACGGCAATCTGGGTGGGCGTCGGCTTCCACGTGCCTCCCCGCCCCCACCCCCTTGTTACCCATATGGACCACAATCGCTGCTGGCATGCTTTCCCAAATTCCCCCCCCCCCCCCACCATGCTGTGGGAGACGGGACCAGCAGAGCTCTACATCAGACATCAGGCAGGATTCAATACGCTCAGCTTCCCAGCCAATCAGAGGTGCTCTTCTGTCCCCACAGGGGACAACATGCAGCACATGTACTACCCCGAACGGGACTGTCACCAGGCACTGAACTCCGGCTACAAGACGACGAGGTAATGCAGTCTCTGCTTGGAGCCGACACGACCTCGCCGCCCCTCTCTGTCAGGCGCCCCTGACTCCGCCCCCTTACCGACACGGCCTCTGTCAGACGCCCCTGACTCCGCCCCCTTACCGACACGACCTCGCCGCCCCTCTCTGTCAGGCGCCCCTGACTCCGCCCCCTTACCGACACGACCTCGCCGCCCCTCTCTGTCAGGCGCCCCTGACTCCGCCCCCTTATCCTACGCAGCATGCAAAGCCTGCACAGGAGGGACCCCTGCCAGTCGCCGGAACCTGCCCCCACCCCCAGCTTCAGCCCCAGCTTTGCGGCGGTGGCAGCAGCCGGAGTAGACAGGAACGCAGGTGGGAACCTGGCAAAGGTGTCGCCGATGTCGGGGCCTTTAGCCGGGTGTCTGCAGGCTCTTCAACGATCGTGTTAAAATGTGTGTTTTCAGCCACTGCAAACCTGTACTTTCCCTGACTTTATTTTTCGGTCTGTATGTACGTCAGTCTGTATCTATCTGTCGTCTGTCTGCTTATTTTCCTGTGTATGTTTGTCTATTTGTCTGTCTCTCTCTCTCGTTCTGTCGATTGGTCTGTCTTTCTCTTGCTTTATCTCTCCATCGATCTTTCTGTATGTAGGTCGATCTGCATCTCTCTGTCTGTTTTTCTGTCTATTTGTCTCCGTTTGTCTGTCTGTCTCTCTCTATCGATCTGTCTGTCATTCCACCCACTCATCCATGCAACCAACCAACCCCCCCTCTCCTTTTGGGCCCCCCTCAGATACAGCCTGCCCCTACCTGAGGGATGAGAAGTGGGCGGCACCCTCTGTCCCTCTCACCAATGAGTTCCGGTACAACACGACAGAATCCCTGTCAGTCGTACCTCAGGCATCAACCTCTGGCTCATACAGTTGGTAAGGAGCCGTTTCCCAAAAGGGAACCCGGTCACTGCGCAGTGCTGTCAGTGCGAGAACTGCTGCATTATCCCTGTGGATATGAAGTCGATACACCCCCCCAGTGATGACGTGTCTAGTGTTTCGGTTTTGCTCTGGTCCAGACCCACCCAGCCTCATATTGCTGGGTTTATTTGTAGTCAGGACGAGAGCCTGCTAAAGTCAGTTAGCATTTTTAGTGCTTGTTAGCCATCTGAAGCTACGCCAGATTTAGAAACGTGAGAATGATCTCACCATCGTCGCATCCAGGTATAACCCCAATTTTAATGGCGGCTGCTTCCAAGATCACTTTGTTTGTCGACTCCATTTGGGAACTGGGCCAAAATAATCTTCATGTCAAGTTGACTCACCAGTAAAAGTTGTGCAATGGACATACCCCCCCTCTCTTTCCCCTTCCCAGTTTCCCTTGGGGCTTCGCTGACAATCCATGTGCCAACCCGTATCCATACTGTGAGCAGAACAGCTACATGCCAGGTTAGGTCTTGCCTTTTCGTTTTTTGGTGGGGGCGGGGCCTCTTCTACACCACTTAAGTCTTTATTTAAATATGTGACCCCCCCCCACAGGAAATGCACATCTCCAGAACAGTTTTACCTGCCCAGAGAGCAAAAGCATGGCCTACAATGACCATCCCAGTTGGACTGAAGACAGCGGCCAGGACATGCCTGCAACCTGGATCTCGCCAAATTGCATGGCCAGCAAGGTCAGTCCCACCGCAGATAAAAATGCCACAGGATCTGACATCCTAAACCTCTCGTCTTTGTGTGACTGTCATTTCATATATTAAAATGGTCATGCTGGGAATGAGGCCTCAGAACAGTCTTTGCTGATTGGTTCAAACCTCTGATTGGAAAGTCCTTAGTGCCCTACAGCTTTCGGCTGTCCGGGGGGGGACTTCAGTCGCCCCACCACCTTTACAGCGATACAGTTGTGTAGAAGTGCTAACTGATTAAGTTCTGTTGATTTTTAAATACCGGCCCCCCCCCCCCCCAAAAGCTTAGTATTCCCAAGGATTTAACATTAAGAATGACCACATTGACTGATATACAGTCATGGGAAAATGAAACTACCATTCCATCAAGCAGAGCTAACCTTGGGTGACAAAATAAAAACACAATATTTCAGTATGTCGTGATTTATTTTTTTTTTTCTTCTGTAAAGTAAACCAAAATTTAGAAATCTTGTAGGGATAAAATGAGTGCACCCTAACTGTTAGAGTATTCAGCAGGCAGGTGTTACATCCATGTCGGCAGCTGGTGATGTCGGACGCTATCATCATCATCATCATCATCGTTCGTGTTGGGATGTTGGGCCGTATGTGTACCAGCTGAGTGATGTGTGTGTGTCCTTCTCTGCAGCCTTTTTTCTCCGGTACCAGGAGTTTATCCCCCATGTCGGGTCTGTTCGGGTCCATTTGGACCCCTCAAAGCGAGCCGTACCAGAGCACCTTCCAGCCAGAGCGCTCACTGCCCCCTTCGCCGGAGTCCCCCTTCGTCCGGGAGCCCGTGGGATCCAGCAGGCCAAAGCCGTTCTCCAATTTCAACCCCTTCGGCCCTCACATGAACTTGGACATTTGGAACTCGTCCTCTAACCGCAGCTCCAACTCCCAGCTGTCAAACGACTCTGGTTACTGTGGAGACACCTAAACAGAATATGCTTTTATTGATAACGTGGGGAGGGAGGGGGGCAATGTGAATTTAAGCGTTTTTTTTTCCTTTTTATTTTTCCCCCCAAATTCAATGTTGTTAAGCGTTTGTGGTATATTTTTCTAGGTGTTTTGCAGATTTGGACTTAGAAAATTAAAAAAAAACAAAGGTTTTGTAATTGCGTATTTCGTCTTTTATCCCTCCTCCACACGCACTACTGTTATACGTTATTTACTTTCTAGAATATTCTCCCCAAGTCCGACTAATGTGCCACGGCAGTGGACTGACTTGTTGGCTGGCGTGCAGCAAGTATTAACACTATTGGTTCACACACAGTTATAGAATCACCAGATAATAAAGCCATTTTACACCCATTAATAGTCGCAAAAGCAGCTAGTAACTTGTTCGTCCATTTTGCAACCGAAAACGTAAAAAAAAAAAAAAAAAAATCCACTGTGATATTTCGAAATTCTTAGACCAGCTGCTAAAGTTACAAAACGCGTTACTGATATACTTAACAAATGTGGATCGTCTGCGTCTGGTCCCAGCAGTCACTACGCTTCGGTAGTAGAAGGCTGACCATATTGATATGGCAATATAGCACAATAGCAGCATCTAGGCAATATCAGGGTATCTGGTCCACAAATCAGTGGGAGGTTAGTTTCCTTTCATAAAATACTGCTCGATGCTGTCGTTTGCATGACTTCAGTAGAGGTGACGGTATAGCAGCGGAAAAGGCTGTGTAGAACCATAGGAAAAGTCCTACGCAAAGAAAGTTAGATCCGCTGGCCTTGCTACAACCGAACCTGCGTGTCAGTACCCGGTAAGGTCCATCTCGCTGCAAGCTTACGACACTCGGGGGGGGGAAAAGGCAAAGGCTATGTGTCAAGTGGGGCATGGAGCTGATACTTTAAAAAAAAAAAAAGTGTGAAACTTTTCATAAATATTACATGGATATATTGTAATATTCAGGTATGGTCAGTTGGTCATAGCCAGTAAGTATTTAAGATTACGTCATATGCAGCGCTTTCCTATAGGACAATGCCACACCTAACAGGTAATTGGTCAGTGTATAAAAGAGCGGGAAAAGGCCAAAATAATGGAGTTTGTAGTAATGTCGCTCTAAGACGCTGTTCAATTAAAGAAACTGTTAATTTACGTCCGTATTTTATACATGTGCTGTAGACGACTGGACACGAAATAATATGCTCATGTGTAAGTATATACCACGGAGCCCAGGAAAATGTATGTTACATTTACTGCATTTTTTTAGATTAATATTAAACTGCAAGCCCATTAATATCTGCGTTGTACACATATTTATTCACGTACGTTTTCTTTATCCGGGTCGAATGGGCCCTGTATCGAAGAATATAACTTTGAATTTAGCGTCTAAACAGCGTTTTAGATTAACTATCCTTAATAAAGATCCTATATGAAGTGTCGTATAAAGTACAGTTTTGCACAGAAATGAGAGGTATTCATAAAGCTCGTTTTCTAAGTTATTCTGATATCACTTATTTATACTATTTTTCTGTCTAACGCGTATTCTCGAAAAGTGCGTTTGGTTAAAGCCAGAAAGTGGGATGTATTTTTACTAAACCGATGTCCTTGCAATGCCCATTCTTATCGAAAGGGGGCCCTCGCGACCAGTGTTAGCGCGAAAAGATAAAAATGCGTATTTCCCACAATAGTGTCACGTACCGCCACAAGTTGAGTTACAATTAAATGCATGATTACGAAAATGTTAATTATTGGATGTAATTCCAATATAAAATATAGTTATATAGTTTACAACGTTTTCCACTTTTTAAATTTGTTAAAGAAATGCATGGAAAACCATTGAAATGTCTATTTAAATGTCACCGAAAAAAGAATCCCCACAAACGAACGGCACACATTTACACGGGAGTGCATAATTTGCCGTTTATTTTTCTTTAAAGGCAGAATATAAGAAAAAAACAAACGGTTACTGATGTGTACAAAGTTTTTAGATTAACTGCACCATGATCATCACAGGCTGTACTACACGAAAAGTGTAAATAAATCCGTGTAGGTGTACGAGACACTTTGGTTGCATCCAGCTGTTAGTCTAAATTTAGTCCATCAGCTTCATAAAAACATGTTCTGACTAAAACTATTTTAGGTATTTACAAGAATAAAATGTTTATCGTAATATTTACATAAGAATTATGGTACAAGGCCGAAAGACATGTCGGTCTTCTGAATAGTATTAAACACAAACAATCATGGTTCTGCTGTTAAATTGAAATGTAAACAACATACTGCAAAGCTATAAGAACTTAGACGTAATTGTGTGCTTCATATTGCAACTAACATTGTGACGTATGAATTCAACATTGACGCCGTAATTTGATTCATATGAAAGCAGTGCAGTTTTGAGGCTCAAAAAAGTAAAAGCAAATTGCGTAAACGATTAAAATGTAACTTAAGTATGTATTTGGGTGGAAAACTGGGAATACTTGGTTTAAATACAGATTTTAAAAAAATAAGGCAGGTGTTCCATGAGATTAGAAATCTATTCGTGGAAAACCGTGTTGGAGAAATAGCGAAGTCGACAAAAAAAGGTGGAAGCTGGTTATTTAACCATGGATATTGTAGGATTTGTTTAATAAACTGGATAAGATACTGCTGGGATGGAGAGTGTGGGAATCTTGGTGATGCACTAACACTGCATTTTGCGAATGCTCCGCGAAATCCTTTTGAACTCTTTCTGGCCGGGCTGCCATCTCTTGACGGAGGTGATGACCAGGTGTCCGTCCATCTTCTGGCCCATCACCAGATAGGCGGTGCTGAAGTCATTCATCTCGTCACAGGTGCATTTAAAACCGTCCTTAAGCCACAACACCGTCTTCTTTAGGTCCCGCTCCGTCACCCCCTTCAGCTTGTAAATCGTCCTGATTTTGTTCTCGGGTATGATTTTGGTGTCGCCGTTCATGTAAGAGATCTCCTTCACTTTGATCTTCAACGCTATTGGGGAGTACGGTAGGGGGAAGCAAAAGAAACAGTATAGTTATTGAGGCTAGTGAAATAATTGTTTTGCAGTTAATGTAGGTCGTATGAGAATAAAACACACAAGTTTGTGAGCCACTGAAATATAGAAATGGGTTTCTTAGACCCCAAAATAGGTGCATTACAACTTACCAAAATCGTTCTTGCAAAGGTTGTCAACAATTTCATTGTCGTTCTCCTCTTTTTCCTGGCAAGGTTCACACACCCTGGGCACTGTAGTCAGAACACAATCCACATTGCATGTTAAACAAAAACATGACCAAATCCCGACCACGCATTTTTAATGTAAACGGATTAAGTATGGTCACGTGAAGATTATGTAAGTGCTGTGTGATCTGAATAGCACACTGATGCACTTGGTGCCATTCTGGCACGTATTTTTCAACATAGGTTAACATATTAAACAGGCATAATGTTTTTAAATATAACACAGCTTCATAAAGAAAAAGTGTAGGAAATAGGCTTTCCTCTGATGTCACTAATATGTAGTTGATAACATTTTAATGAGAAATGCTTGAATCAAATTCACAAGACAAAGCTTGGTCATTATTCATGAGACGTTTTTCTTCTCTTTTCTTTTTCTTTTTTTTTTTACCAGCGGGTTAACTAAGGCGGATGGAGAGCTTAACAGATGTTAATACAGTTACACATCAACAGGGAAACAATGTTTGGTCTAGACTTAGAACTGAAAGACTTGAATCGACCTGCAAACGCGTTTCCTTTAGGTATAGAACTCCACGCAATTAAATTGACTAAGCAGTTTCAAAAATAACTGTAACCCCGTATAAGTGAACACAGATGGTTTGATGACCATGCAGTCATTAACTAAGCTGGCGCGTACTGTTCACGTGCAGTGTATGTCCCTATAAATCTAGCAATAATGAATTTGTTGTCAGCATATAATATCTCCTTCGGGGCATGTATGTTATAAATTAATCTTTTTTTGTTAAAGGAAAAGTTAATTTGCAAATGTGTGGTGGTTCGAGACGTGTGTTGTGTTTTAACGCCGTTTTACCTTCTTGAGTGACTGGTTCAAAACTGTCGAAGTTTGCTGGAGGTATACAAAGATCGTTCTCCGGCGGGAAACGATCGCAATCTAGCATGTCTGGCCACGGGAAGCCAAAAGCGGACATAACCGGCGCGCATCCGTTTCTTACGCGCTCGCACAGCGATCTGCAAGGTTGGATGGGCTCGTCCACATCATCCAGACACACCGGGGAGAAGAGAGAGCAAAGGAACTTTCTAGTGTCCGGATGGCACTGCTTCTGCACTAGCGGGATCCATGACGATGCTTGCTGGAGAACTTCATTCATGGTTTCGTGTCCAAGAAGGTTCGGCAGTCTCATGTCCGTGTACTCTATGTCGTGGCACAGTTGGAGATTGACCGGAATAGGTTTGCAGTTGCTCTTCTTGTGAAATAATTCGGGTTGCCCAAACGGGTATATCCCATGGATCGCTTCCATACAAGCAGGCAGTGCAGTCACAGAAATTATTATGAGCGTGAAATACTTCATGGTGAAAAGCCCGCGTGAGCCTGGGGTGTGTAGTTACAGTTTATAAAAGATCTAACCTCGCACCTTTATTGCGGTCACGAGGACATCCATACATGTATGTATCAATCTAAGTTGAGTACGACCCCTCAGAGTGTCAGACCAGAGTAAGAGGATGAAGACAGGGAGACCCTCATAAATAAAGTGGGGAGGAGTTACGTCGCACGTTCCTCATGGCGATTGGTCAGCTTTAATGCAGCTTCACTTTCAGCATCAGGTAGTTCAATAATTTGCGATGTAACGCTTAATATTCCATTATTACGTGTTCCTCCCGCGGCGATGCCTCTTCAGAGGCTGAATTTTGGGGTGAATCCGTTTTTAGCTGGTGGACGACAACTTTAATGGATCGGTGGTGACAGTGAATGTATATTCAACACCTTGAATAATTTAATTTGAAAGTTTATCATATTTGAAAGTTGGTCTATTTTTAATCTCTCTTAGAAGGTTAATGGTTTTCAAAACAACAACGGTGTACCAACCGACATTTCGCTTTTATTTATAAAACCACGAAAGTGTAAGATTGTATCATCTTACCGTTATATGTATGCATTGCAAATCAGTTTGTACATTGTCATTTTTTAGATTTATCTCTGTTACAGCTGTATTTTCAAATACCGCTTTATATCGCTCATCTTTATAGAACAGTATTAAATCTTTAGACATACCCTTAACAATGCAAGGTCCAAGCCATAAACTGAACGCGCTCATTCATGTCCACAATGACTGTTTCACGCTTAATTGGGAGTGGAATTAATGCAATATTTACGGCCTCCGGCAGTTTTCCCACGTGAGCACACGAAAATCTGTCGCGTTGGTTAGTAGTTTGTTCGTTGTGTATTTGGACAGTTAAAGCGGTCCATTGTTTCCAGTTTGAATGAGGAGTCGTACTGTGTCGACCGCCAAACCAGTGGATCTAGTGCTGAGCAGCAGCTGCTCTGCCATCCAATAATAATAAAAAATAATAATAAAAAAAAACATTTGAAGTCATTTGATAAGTTCGACTGCTTTCAGCCGAAATTTCCTCCATGGAAGTTAGTCAGAGCATTACCAGTCCACATATGGTAACCAAGCAAGGCTACATGCAGATGTATTTATTTATTATCCGTAATTACAAGTTGACGTTTCCATAACAATGTGAATATGTTTCAACAGCAGCATGAATAAACAAACCCTTTTAAAACAGAGATCAATCATCGGAGGCCTTTAAAATAATTTTTAGCATCCCGTAGGACCTTGGGTGGGGAAAATGCTGGCCGGGCAGTTGGTGTAGTACCATTGCCTACGGGTAATTTTAAAGGTCCGGTCACTGTTTCAAAACTGGAGTATATAATAAAAGATAAGTTATTTAGGCTGAGTGCATTTCCTATACAGAAGGGAAAAAAATCCATCTGGCTTAAGCAGTCGTCTGCCTTAGGTGGCTCCAAATTTCCATTTAACATTTTATCTCATTGTTTGAGTTGACAGCCACGAATAGGACATTTATTGGAGTGCTAAATAATTTATTTACTAGATATTTGGCCAAAGTAGTAGATTTATAAAGAATTCTCAGGGACAGCCTAAGAGAAGGAATGTACTTTACAGGAGATATGAAAAAGAAATCTGATCTGTTTCCTGACCTGAATCAGAGTGCCAACTAAAATAACTAAGAAATGTAAACAAACCATAGCATTTACTTATTTATGCAATATTTATCTGAAATGTTCCTTACAGCGATACTAATTTATGATATGGAAAGGCCTTGTAATTCCCAACATAAGGTTAAAAGTCATATGCTGAATGCAGCTGCGTAAATAAACCAAACGAGGAAAGAGGGCTAATTATTCTTTCTATCCATAAAAACAGGGACTTTGTTGTCAGCAGGTGATGTCGGTCTCCGAGTATATTTTTTCTGCCTGGGTCTTTTATCAGAAATGCCATGTTTACCTCTGGTTTCACTCAAAACCGTACCTTGAGTAGTACACAGAGAACAGAAATGTTCCTCCGTTGAGTTTAGTAAGTACCTACTGTAACCCATGGGACTGTCTGTGAGTGACTGGCCTAGTCATTTTACCTCTGCTGCTTTGCAGTTCTCCATCTGGGTTTGCGAGGTTTCTCTCTATGATTACAGGCATCTGTAGCAGATCTGCTGCTATTAAGCGCCGCTGTTGTGTTTTGAAAGTGATGCTCGGTTTTGAATCATGCTTCGCATGATATTCATTATGAGTGCCTCATTGAATTTACCTTTTCTATTAATTGGAAATGTGAGTTTGATTCCGTGCTCTAGCACAGAAGACTGTTAGAAAACGAGTCTTTAAATTCATTTGTTAAATAGTTTTAATTGTTATTTGTAAAATGAAGTATAAGGTATTGGGGATTACATGCAAAATCTTGCGGAATTCCAGTTTAATCGGGGGTTTGAGTCAGGATGCTAATTTGATCTATGTGGGATTCAGGGGATGCTTTTGAGCAGTGATATCCGCATTGTGCTTCAGGGAAAACCCACGTTGCCCTTACTGATGATGGGCTGATTTTGTTTTTCACTTTTGTTTTCATTGTTTTTGCTTCTTCCATAGTGGAGGTGGGGGGGGGCGGGGGCGGGTCTCACAAACAGCGGAATGTCCCTGACATGCTGATCAATCTCCCCCCCCATCAAAAGGGACAAACAGTAGCAGCTTGAGGGACTCATCATAGCCTTTATTCCTTCTGACATTTTTAAAATGAAAATGACTGCTTAATACTCTACAGCAGTGTTTCCCAGCCTGGCCCTTGGGGACCCCCCCCCCCGCTTTTGCTCCTGGTATGGAGCTGGGAGGGAGCAAAAACGTGGACTTTTTGAGGGATCCAGAGGACCAGGTTGGAAAAGAGTGTCCTGTGATTTAGAGCTTATTGACAAGCTGTCATCTTGCTTCTTGCAAACCTGGTACTAAATCTTTCTTACACAGTCACCCAGGTCTCATTTTCTTCCATCTTATCGCTAAAAACCACATGTAATGGAATTTGGCACTTTTTTTTTTTTTTTTTTTGAAAATGTCACAATTTTTTTTTCTTTTTTGATCAAAAACCAGGAATAATATTATGTTTATATATATTATATTTTTTCCGCTTGATCTTTCTACAGGGTGAATTGTGTTTGTTTTCATGGGGTATGTTATACAGTGAATTACATGAAATGACAGCTTGCTTTTAAATAAAGTAACTGTCAGTTATAAATGCTTGGTAATGTTTTTTGGAATGGAGTTCTGTGTGTGGGAATATGTTTCACAACAACCATGACACGTGACATCAGAGTTTCGATATTGAATATGACGGGCCTGAGATCCGCAAGTTTAGAATGCGGAGAATTCATTAGCACCACTTCGATGTGGTACATCCAAGCTCAACAAGGGAAAGGGGAGACGATACCCCTCCTCTGTGGGGAAAATGCAAAACCAGCACAGTCTGGACAGATACGCAAAATCTGCTATGCAAAATGTGTTCCCCCTTCCTTCATCACATCGTATAGTTTCCATATGTTTGTTCATGAAAGTCCCCTTGACTCCTAAATAAACGTAAAAAAATGAGTGTGTGTATATATTTTACGGTATCTGCGTATGCCTTAATCTTCAATGACGCATTAAAAAAACATTAATAAATATAACCCAAAATACTCTATGATAATAAATATGTAGTGTGTATATATATATAGTATACATAACACATAGCTGTTCATTTTTTTCCGTAAAACAAAACTGAACTAATATACACCCCTGGGATCACTGAGCATGAATGCCGTGGAAAAATGTCATTTACTAGAAATGAAAATCTCAGAAGCTTAGAACCCTATTCCATTAAATTAGGTGTTTTATTGTTAAAGTACCCCCATATTTCAGTTGGAATGAACCCTGTCTGTTTTTGTGCCTGAAATTCTTACCCCGGCTGCTTTTCATGATTTCTCAAACGTTCACGTGTCCTGTCGGAGTTTCTCACAACTGTTCAACGTGCGCTGGGAATATAAGGAGCTTTTGGAAAAACGCATGTATTCTAAATATTTTGTTTACCCTTAAATTCTTTCAAACAAAGGCTCTGTGAATGCAGGTGCAGTAGTAGGAGTGTGGGTAGGTTTTTCTTCCTCATAATTCATAATTTAGACTAAAGTTTTTGAAAAGATATATAATGGCGATGATCTATGGCAGCAGTGGGTCTCTGCTGCGATATTGAAAAATGCATTAGCGCAATGGCCTGACAGCATTATATGTTACTTGCACCCTGCACGTGGCATCGCATGACAGGCTAATGGAGGCCCCTAGTGTAGACTCGCGCCAAAAGCCCGAAAGCCATCAAATATTGGCCACTGGAGATTACATCTTTTCCTGCCAGCATTTTAATCATACGGCTATATTCTGTCATTTCTGTTCATTTTCAGTGCGAGTTTCCAAGCTGTCAGAAACGCTTTAAAGCAGCAATGCTCGTTAAGCTACATGATGCGAAATGTCCAATACTTGCTTAAGGTTGTTGTAATTACTCAATTATACTGTTATAAACAAGAGTGGACCTATAAGATGTGTCCAAAAAAGCAGGCGTTAACCTGCCTGTAACATGACTAGCAAAACAAGAGGTCTCCTTTCTGCCTCTATTTGTCGCCATGGCTTTGCGTGATAGACATCAGGTGAATCCCCCACTTGGTAGAAAAAAATTGATTGAATTTTTTTGTGTGTGTGGTGACTAGAGGAGGCGGGATGGGCAACGTATCCAGAAGAGGGTTATTTTTTTGGGGGGGAGGATCTAGTAAATCGTGCTATACGTGATATCATTCAGTGTCCTGTCTTATTCCACATTCTGCAAGAGCTAGGGTTGGTAATGTTCAAATGAGGGGATAATTAGTGTGCATGTCCAGAAAAGGCATATGTATGATGTCTGAAGCAACAGCTGCTTTGTATTTGTGACTTCGAATTAAAGGGCTACGGCCGAAGGTCCTTCTTGAGTGCGCAGTCTAAAAGGGTTCGCGGACCCATTGTAATTTCAAGTGCTTTCGAGTCAAAGGTTTATTCTTTTTATGAGAAATGCTGCTCCCTTCATCTTTTCCTCCATAGTGTGGGCATTCCACTTGGGCCTCCAAGAAGACATCCGGGCAAGTCACGGGCACTTAAGAACCCATTAAGTGCAAGGCC